ACCTTCAGAGTCTGGCTTGCACACCGATATGTGGGAAATTTATAAATTTGGATGCGCCAATGATGGTGCCAGTCCTCTACCTCCTCCTCCCATATAAAGAGAGACGCTACTCTACTCGTACGTACCCCTACCGTACAGGTTTGGGTTTAAAACAAACAATAACACTAAGCAACAAAATAAAAAACTCTTCAAATGCTGCCCTCAAAACCTGCAGAATCAGAATATCAATCAATTTCAATAATAGACCGTTTTCCTATCAGCAACAAGCGTGTTTTTAAAAATCAATTTTTAAGTGTTAACATTTTTGAAGTTGATTCCAAATGTAAACACCAATTTGTGCGTCGAATTTAGAATTTGAACTGAGCTTATCTTACTCTAGTCCTCTAGACTAACATTCAACTCCTATTATCTGTTTTTTCTTACATTTTTAAACTTTATATCCTCGGAGTATAATTTCAAAACTTAAACCATTCGAATATTTGGTAAGGAGTTAACTAAAGCTTATGTACCAATTATTTGCTAATGTACGCGAACATTGTAAAATAATTGCATCCACACAAAACTGTGTTTCACAGTGTATTCAGTCAGTTGGTTAGTGTTATAATTATCTCACCATATAGAGTGCGACACAAAAAAACAACAACAAAAAGGAAGTGCTTGGCTGGGCGTTAAAAATCGAGCAATCGAGTTGCTACCACAGTGAATAATGTGTAAGGGATTTCTGGATAATTTTATGAATTGAATTAAAGACCTGTTTACTGCAAACAATTTTATTTTAAATTTCCTGGTATTTTGTTCATCAACAATGAAACTTTGTTTCCAGCCATCTTTTTGTTGTTTAAGCCAAGTTTGCAGAACAATGAAATTGTTCAGAAAACGGATAACCTATTTTAATTATAATTAGAATGCTGGGGCCGTTTGGAGAGTTTTTACAATATTTTTGGAGGTACACTTTTAGTTTAAATCTGAAGATTTTGAAAATGAGTAATAAGTCGTCTCCAATCGATAAGAAGACCTTCCTCTCTTAAAACCGATCCATATGAAGACAAGTTAGGGTACATAGCAAGTATAAAGCTAAATGAGAATGGGCGTTCAAAAATATCACACTCTTCTTCTTGTCGGCGCATTAATTCGCATCCAAGCTTCAATTGCCAAGTTATAAAGCCACCAAAAAACAGAAAATAAACGACGAAATAAAAGAAGTGCGGCATAAAGGTGGTTGTCTGGGGAGGGGAGAGGATGGAAGGGGGGTATAAATAAATGTTAATGTAAAAACGATCGTAAACTGTTTTATTCAAATTCAGCAAAAGTAGCCGGATAAGTTAAAAATGAATCAGACGAAGGCAACAAAGACAACGGCAACGACAACGGCAACCGAAAACGTACGAGTATGGTATACGAAAAGAGATAATAAAAATAGAGAAAAATAGATAAACGAGTTGGCCAATGAAATTAAAGCAAATTCACTAACGAAACGCAATAACAAATTTCTTGGCCAATACAAGCGGCCACAATGCGTGCGATTCCATTACACATACACAAAGATGGATAGAAGCAAAAGCAACAACAACAACAGCGATAGATACAAAAACACAAATTACAATGAAATTTTAACAAATGAAGGAAAAATATTACACACCCATTAAGTACCATGTGGAAGGAATGCGAGAAACTATTGGAATAGTTGGTGAAGCAATCAATTCTTGAATGTACTCGTATGTATTTAAAAGCCTCTTGACCAACAAAGCACATCGAATTTAAACTGTCTGCCGAAAACTTTATTTTGCAAATTCAGCAATGTAATTGGGTAAACAATACATACTATATGTATGTTATTTAATAATCTGTAAGTTCCTTGCAACAATAGTCAGGAAATGGTTAGTCTTTATGAAAGCAAGCAGTGATTTTTTAAATTTTAATTTGCAAGCAGTGGAAAACAGTGGAAAGCAGTTCAAATGCGCTTGAGAGCTTAAAATGGTTTCAATCAGAAAATGATTTATACCTATAAATGAAATCATACTGTGTGCTCATTATATTTATGTGTACTCTCTTATTTGTTTTAAAATTTCATAGAAATATTTATTGTTTCAAGTAGTTTCCCTCTCTTGTAGACTAACACTTTATAGAAATTATTATTTCAATCAGAAACAACAAATTTATATATGTATAACAAAATAAACAGTTTGCTAATTATTATTTTGGTGGTCACGCACGACTCTTGGCTGGCTTTCAGCTTTTTTGTTGAATATTTTAGTGGAAATATCGAAGATGAAGCTATACGTAGTAGAAGCCAAATGTAAGAGTTAATATTATTCGTATTGTTGTTAGTGTTGCTTTCTCCTCTTGTTAATTATATTCAAATGACGATGCCCCAGCTGCGACTAAGTATTGCGCCGATACTTTTTCTACCACTTCGCTTTACCTAATTTAATTAATAGTCAGTTTATGGAAATTCAATACCATTTAGTTTTAGTTTTTGTACTGCTGCCTCACTATAATAAACAGGCTTATTGAGCAACCATCTTCTTTTTTCGTAGTTTCTTCGCTAGTTTTTATACGCATCTGTGTTCGTTTCTGGGCTCATTAGAATTTTACCTGAGCTTAGTATGTTCTCTCCTTTTTATGTCTGAATAGTACTAATTTGTATTGTGTAGCAAGGGGTTCGTTGACATTTTTTAATACATTTCTTTGAAACACATCTCCCCCTTCGTGCTTTTTTTGGCGAAAGAAAGTGTTGAAGAAACTTTTTCGCAATCGTTTGGCCACAAAACTCGCCACGCAGTCAAATAACCGAACAATTTTCGATACTCCAGAAATGGCATATTCACGTGGCAAGTTAAATGGGTCGGTTACCGATTAAAACTTTATTATATCCGTTCAACGAGCAGATAATTATTTGCTTGGAACATAGAGTACTTATTTTATTGACCTGTTGCCAAAAAGAAATATCAACCGCATTCTTTGGGAAACCAAAACATTCTTAATATTCTTTCTGAAATCAATCCATTCATGCAGACAGACAGACATGTTTTCTCACGCTGAAACTTACTGACATGTTTCCATTTCCGAATTCGATGATTGGCTGAAACAGTTTGAAACATTTTTGTAAATACATAATTCCACTAGCGTTCTCAAAGTTGAATAACTCAATCACTTTTTGATTGGGAACATTAATTAATTCAAAATTCTACAGCATGAATGTAACACTCTATAATGTATTGTTAAGTACAATTTCGAATAGAGGCTTTAAATATACTACATGCTTAAATTTCACACGTATTTTTGGCGACACAGCTCGTGCTCCGGACTTCAGCTCTCGATGCTGGAATCAAAGTAGCTGGATGGCCGTTTTTGAAAATCATCAATGCAATTATGTGACTCGACCGGGTCTTCTCATTTGGCTAATTATTATTTGAATTATTCAATTTAATGTCTCAATTTGAATTTTGAAGCAATTAAGGGAAACATTCCTGTTGCCAATGCTGTTGGCATTGCGCTGGTTTGTCGCTATTGCAGATACTTTTATTGTTATCTAAGTATGTATCTATGTATGTATTTGGGCGAACGTTTTTAGTTTTTGCACGCCACCTAAGTGGCACTTTTCTGGGACATGGGGCGTGGTAGAATTGGATGGTGGTAGAATTGGATGTAACAGAAAAGCAAGCCAATGAAATAATTACAAATTGAAAGTCTAAAGAAATATAAGCGAGGCGAGAAAAATAGAAATTGAAATTCACAATCAAAAACAAAACATTTGTTTATTGTTATCATTCCAAGCTCGTCTTCTATATTAAGAGAGAAGTTTCAACCAATATTGTAAATATCTCCTTTTATATGCGCAATGGCGAACCCCCCATATCTTCATAAAATAAAAACTTATACAAAACCTCTTATAATATAGGCCTTGAAGCTGTAGCGAAGAGAGCCCTCAGATAGTTAGGTATAAAAATGTTGCATCACTACGATTGGAAAAAGTAGACAAAAGGTGGAGGAGGATGCCAAAGAACGACTAGAAAGAAGAAATCGTATACAGGTTTCATTTGCCTATTTATATTAATTGTAAAAAGTTGCGCGATAGCCCCTATCTTTGAGCATTCTTAAGACTATTTGGTCAACAGCATTACTTTTTGCAGCGACGAAAGCCATTATAGGCCACTGTACGCCACTTGATTGGGCTTTAATGATCTTGTGTAATTATTTTGGCATGTAATTCAAAGATCGCCCCTGGCTCCAGCTTGGCTCTGTACCTGTAGCTGTACCCTTTCATTGTTTGCTGCTTGTAAACGGTTGATTTAAATTGATTTGTGTCTAATGCCCCCTACAAATAGCCAGCTCGGCACGGATGCTCGCGTTATTAATGATTTCATAAGACACCACAGAGAGGGCTGCCAAGTGGCAACCAAAAACCGACAACCGACAACCAACAACCGGCAACCGGGAACCACAGCCAACCGCAACCGCCAGAGTTGTTTCGGTACTTAAGTATAAATAATTGGTAATAATATTTAATGATTGAACTTACACATATTGCCTCTGCACTGAGACCACCTGCCGCCTAGCCAAGTGAACCCATGGAGCCCAGTATTTGACCTCTCTTCGACAACAGCAGCTCTTAAGCAAACTCGAAACTCATACGTGGGTCTCTTTTTTCCCCCTTTTTTCAGGCGAAGCAGCAAACCCTCCGTCCATGGCTACGGCTCCATAAATCACATGAAAATGGACAAACCACGCCAGAAATTGCCACATTTTTCGCCAAATTAGCAGAGAAGAAGAAGAAGCAGAAGCAGCAGAGCAAAACTGGAGAGCGGCGACGAGGACGACGGCAGAGTAAATATTTGCGAGCTCTGACAAAAGCGCCAAAAACAGACAAAAGACCATTTGGACCAATTTAATGCTTCCAAACGAAATCGCACACGCAAATCCAAATTGAATTTGTGTTAAGATATTTTCTGAAAAGGCAGCAGAAGGAGTCCATTAATAGCCTCGCACGGCACTTTTAAATGACCGAGTCCACTCAACTACAAACTACGGAGAACAACAACGCAGGCGTAGTTAAAATGGAGCCACCGCCGTCGACGACATCCTCAACGTCCTCGGTATCTGCTTCGCTTGCGGCAGCAACGGCGTCCGGCGGCACTGGCTGCAGTGGCAGTGGCAGTGGAACTGGGGCTGGAGCAGCGCTCTCACCTAATTTAGAGCAGCATCAGCGATCCACATTCCTGCAGTCACCGCTACCGTCGTTGCCACAGCAACATTATGCTCTCAAATGGAACGACTTCCAGACATCCATCCTCAACTCATTCCGGCATTTGCGCGACGAGGAGGACTTTGTGGACGTGACGCTGGCCTGCGATGAGCGCTCCTTCACTGCCCACAAAGTGGTGCTCAGCGCTTGCAGTCCCTACTTTCGCCAATTGCTCAAATCCAATCCTTGCGAGCATCCCATTGTCATATTGCGCGATGTGCGCAGCGACGACGTCGAGAACCTGCTTAGGTGAGTCCCTGGTGATAAAGTCGGCGCTGTGCGTTTAATTTTAAAGCTCTTATTCACTCGCAGCTTTATGTATAATGGCGAAGTTAACATTAGCCACGAGCAACTACCAGATTTCCTAAAGACCGCACACCTCTTGCAAATTCGAGGCCTGGCGGATGTCAATGGCGGCTATCCCTTTGATGCACTCAGTACCACAGCCAAGGCGCTTGCGGCACCGCTGACGCACAACAACAATAATAACAATAATAATACAAACAGCAGCAACAACAATAAAGTTAACTACTTACCAGGAGCTCTCTTCAACGCTTCCAGCAGAAGCAATAACAACGTCAGCGCCAGCAACCACAACAGCCAAAGCTCGCCCTTCAGCACCGGACAGACCCCAATAGTGCCGGCAACAGCGTCCTCGGGTGCGGCGGCAACCGCGTCCAGTCTACCCCTAACCAGCAGCAGCAGCAGTAACAAAAGCAGTAATAACAGCAGCAGTCAAGTGAGCGGAAACACCAGCGGACCACCTGCCGTCCAGGAGCTGAAAGCATCCGCACCGTCGCCCGTAAGAAAATCCAATCCAAATCCCAACAAAGTAACGTGGACTGTTCCATTAGCTTACTCTCGTACCTGTAACTGTTCGCAGGATACTCAAGAGCTCACTAACCACCCATCCACTATTTCGTGCCCTCCCTCTTTCCAATTGCAGGCGAGCTCCAATCACTGGGATCTCGGAGACATGGAGGGTAATCGCAAGAGCCACTTGACACCGCCGCCCCAGAAACGTATCAAGAGCGCCGATCTCTTCCGCGCCCAGCACGGCATCAGCCCCGAACGTTTGCTGCTCGATCGTGAATTCCCTGTAGCCGGACAGCACCCGTTGACACGCAATCGAAGCCGGGATGTCTCCAAGGATCGGGATCGCAGCCTTGAGTTGCGCGAATCCCTGCTTGGTCAAGCGCTGGAGAACAGTAACGGTCAGCAGAGCAGTCAGGTATGTCATTGGAAGCTACCTCTTTTAATTTCCAACCCCCACTCACAAGTCTCTCCTCTATGGAACAGAAACACGATCTCGGACAAAGCGCAGGCGAGGATTCAAACAGCAGCGACACTGAGCCCTCAGATCGCGGCGATGTCCATCATGATGGCACAATGGACGGCATGGACAATCAGCGTTCGCACTCTTTCCCAAGCGCATTCCTGGGGCTGCAAGGCATACCAGGACTGCTGCCCGGACCCTCTGGCATGGGGGCCAACGACTTTGGTGAGTAAACCATCCCATTGGATTTTTATTAGAACGCCAAGCTTGCAATTCGCTTACCATTTTTAAAATTGCATAATTGAATATTTGTGTAATGTATATGATTTAATGTTAAACTATCTACAAATATGTATGTATTTATAATTCGGGCATCTCTTCGAAATACTGCAATGCATTATTTACGTATTATTTGCATCTATACGTAACTAATTAGTCGGCTTCTGATAACTCAGTCTGGAAGCTTTTAAATCCAAATTGGAAACAACAAAAAATTTCAAAACTAAAGTCTCTCCCTTTGGAAAAGACTTGTGATCATTTGTAACTATATCATAGTCGATTATACTATAAGTTGCAAAGCATTATATTTAATTTCATTCAAATATCTGTATGATTCTAGCTTATGGTGAGTTCCCACTCTCTCGATATAGAAAAACGCACTACACATGATAGTTTTGAAAAGAATATGATTTTGTAGTAATGCATCCTTTTACTCAAGTATTTGCGAAGATGAGCTCCTAACTGGATTTGTTCCTATTATTTGAGAAAGAGCTGAACAACCATCGGTTTTTTAATAAATGTACAAAATTAAACTGCTACGAATATTTGTATGTGCTTCGCAGCCGTTGTTCATTTTCAAAATGTGGCTAAAGTTTCTTTCGAATTCCGTTCGACACCCAAATAACAGGAAAATAGTTGAATTCATGAAAAATAACATCGATAGTTTTCAGCTCTAGCGTAGAGGCGTGGAGCGTTGAATGCGTGAAAATCCACAAAAGAAAAGAACCACGATTTTCACACCTCACATAAACTTGGCTTACTAACACAATTGTATTCATGTTCAAAACTGCACAGAACGTATCACGTATTATGGCCAATATATACTTACGAGTATGTTATGGCCCGTACTGCTGCCCAAGATGGTTTGTTCTGGTACAGGGTACAGGCTACTTACCGAAAATGTTTATCGTTTCCCAAATATGATCGAAAAATTTGTCTTTAGCGTTACGCAAGAGATTTGCGGGATGCTGCCGAAAATCGAAGCCAACGTTTGGGCTGAAGGAGTCACAAGGCAACGAGCATTGCCGCCATTAGCGACAAATGTCACGCACCCAAAAGCTGGCAATCAACGCACAGCTGCCCACTAAACTAGCCCCCATAAACTCACTTTGCTGCACCCTAATAGCCATTGGCCATTGGGCATTGGGCATTGGACATTGGCTATCGAGGCATGTCATAATGTACATTTACGTATGTGCAAATGTGTCGAATAATGCACAAAAAAATATTATTATTATTGTTACGAGTATGATTAAAATTGGATATTATGGTATTAGGAGCTCCCAACTAACAGTCTCAAGCCGTTTGAAAAGCACACGCATGCACTAAAAGAAAAAAGTATTAAATACAATGTGCGGAGCGAAGAAACTAAAATCTTACACAAAACCCCTAAAGTGAAGCTTCGACAAATGTTTCTGCTAACAGAAACTAACAGGTTACTGTTCTAACCAAACCGAATTCGATCCCCAATCAATTCCTCGTTTAAATAGGTTTGTGCTACGTAATTGCTTGACTGCTCTACTCAGATGGTTTTTAACATTTATTTGTTCAATTCATTGATTGGAAACGTGTGGTGGAATGGTATAAAATTTTGCTAACTAAATAGCCATTACCCTCCACTGATTATTGTTTAAAGTATTGTCGAAACTGTCCTGACAGTGATGACTTGATGGTTCGAATTTGTAGCCCCTTGTCTTTAAGGTTCTTATGTTCTGAATTCACCCTCAATCAACAGATCCATTTACGATTGTAGAAGTGGGCATCCATGTTTTTAATTGTTTATGATGATAGATACTTAGATGGAGAGAAAACTGCGTTATAAGAAGCATCAAGAAAAGAGATCCCATGTGGAAGACTTATATTTTAAATTTCAAACTAATGGCTCAGAAACTTTATAAAGCGTCAAGCGCAAGAAATTCGGAATTTTCGAAAACAGGTTGCTGTCCGGTAACAATTCCCGATCTGTAGCCACATGACCTCACTAGTGATGATACTCCAAGCCATCCACGAAATATTCAAGCCAAGATACTAAGTGGGGGCAATGATATTGTACTATACGGGTATAAGTAGAAGGATGAACACTAAGGTGGTGTAATGTGGAGTAGAAGTGCCCATTATACACACTTTGTATAGCATCGCCAATGTCGCATTTATAGCGCATTATAATGGTAATAACGCCAATCGTTCGTTCAATTCCACGATGTGTCTAGGCTGGCTACCCAGCTGTCCGGCTGTCCAGTTGTCCGGCTGTCCAGCTGTCCAGCAACTCGGCCCGCACCGGTACCATTTAATATTCAACGCACATAGATCATTGCAGCAAATGTTGGGCTGCTCTCGATTGGTCAAGTAGGGGATGGACGAGGGAGGAGCAGAGGAACAGCGCTCGAACTAGAATGTGTGGCCCTGAAATCAAATTTAATAAAGCATAAGCATTCAATATGACTGAGCAAAGGCGAGACGATAACAACAACACCAACAACAACAACAACAAGAACAACAGGAACGATGGAAGTAATTTGAAATTCCGGGCAGCGGCTGTTGTAACGACAGCGGTAACTGTAACTGCATTTTTTTACGAACTGAGTGGTAGTTGTCCCGCTCGTTGTGGGCCCATACGAAAGCGAATCTAAATCTCCGACGGAATCGGAAATATTAACGACGCCGCCTGGTGGGCTGACAGTGGAAGTGGAAATGGAAATGGATGTTGAATTGGAGATGGAGGTGGAGGCGGTGGCTGCTGCCGGAGGTTGAGAAGTACAAACAGGCCGTCAAAATGGATAAAGTTTTCTACAGTGATAAAAATGATAAGTTTTTGTTTGCTGTTGTGTGTTTAGGTCAACACACCGTGCCCGCCCCGCCTCGCCTCGCCTCGCCTCGCCCCGCCCCGCTCCGCTCACCACTCTCTCGATTGTTTTGGCAACGCCACAAATGGCAAAAAAGGACGAACACACAACCACATGCATACACACAGACATACAAACATGGAGACAGACATGCATACATACATATATTTAGATTTTATTTTATTGCTTTTATGTGAATTCGATTTATTTGCAAGCAATAGGAAAAGTGGACTTGGAAATTGCGCACATGTGTGTGTAAGGGCTTGGTCTTCGCGCTCGTCCTGCCAGTCCTCCTAGTCCTGCCGAGCATTGCTTCTCTTTGCTTTTTTGGCACGCACTCGGTCACCATCTTTTCGAGAGTTCGAGTTCAATAATATGAGTTGGGTTTTTATTTTAATATATGTGTGCGAGTATCTGCCTCCTTTTTGGCAGACAGCAGAGCACAAGCAGTCACGCAAATGTCAGTTGAAAGAAGGCCCACAAAGATATCCTTACTCGCACATACTCGCACACTAACAAACAAATGAGGGCATACTCGTACGTACGAGCGAGCAGAAGTGGAATAGCAAAAACGAAAACACGAAATCGGGCAAAAACTCCAAAAGTTTATTTTGCAAAAAAATGTGCATTGCGCAAATCGAACAGTCGTCTCAGAAAAAGGGACTAATACAAAGGCAAGACGACACAGGCTCTGACCTTTACGATTCGTTCTAGACATCGTCGTTGGACAACATTTTACAATTAAAATAAAAGCAAGGGAATAGAGAAAAACCCAGGAACCTGCCCAATCCTGCCCAACCGGCGCCAGCTGAAGGTGTACTTCTAAGCAGGCGACCAACAAATACAAGTAAATGGCAGCAATACTCGTACAGCAGCAAAGGGAAGGTGTTGTTGGCTCATCGATGTCAAAGGCAACACATGTGCTGTTCCTCCGTAAGACTAGCAGGATGATAGACGGGGGCTGGGGGGCAACACACCACCCCAAGAGACGAATGACAACGGCAATTTCGATGGCGACACTTGTAATGAACTGAAAACAAATGGAAATAACCAAAAGAAATGGCAAGATTTTTGCCACTGAGGCAAACAAGGAAAGGAGAGGTCGATGGAGCGCTTTCATCTACTCTGTCGTCCCTGAGAACAGTTTAGTTAAGATAAAATAAAGATCTTCTAGGGACTCCACTCCAACCTTACAGGTTTCTTTACCCTAAAAGGCTTGGGAATGATATTGCGCCATGCATTCTATTACATCCCGTTGCCATATACTTGTAATAATGGTTTTGGCAGCTCGAAGAATTGAAAAATATATTGCTAAATGCACTGTATATAGTATTGTGAGAGGTGGACTTATTAGAATAATACTGGAACGAAACTAATGCGTTGAGCCAAGCGACTAAGAAAACAACCTCCCATAATATAGTACAATAGAAATGTTGCAGCACGACAGCGCTAGTTGCTAAGGTCGTTAAGTCCTACCTCGAAACATTGATGGGTGGGGTTGTACAACAGCCGCGGAATAAAAGCAAGTTGCGACTAGTAATGGACAATATAGCATTCTACTTACTTCTTTACAACTTGAGACAACAAAAAGGAAAGAATTGGCACGCAAACCCTCAAATATTAGGGATGGATTATTTAAGAGAATAGTTAATTACTACGTATTTTATAAATTAAGGCGTGTCTACTCATCTGCAATTTAATGGAATATTGCAGACACGTCAAATCTCCATGCTAAAGGCTATGGTCACATTAGCAAATTATTGGCACACCAACTCTCAAATATTAGGCAACTTAATTGCCGACGAACAATTAAATGACAACAAATATTATGTAAATACAACAGCAATTATTAAATACAATTTGATAATCTCGTTGCCATGGTATGCCATCGATTTTACGACTTGCAGCTGCAATTGGGTTCGTCCTCCTGTGTGACCAGCTCGGGACCTAGTTTGTGCACAAACCAAATCATATGTGTTTGACAAATGGCGGTAGATTCCGAATTTGCGTGTCTGGTCGCAGATTCGACCGTAAAATTACCTGCAGGCCTTCAACAAATGCGTCCAGAGCCCGCGTCAGCCCGCTTCCTTTATCGGCTGGGCA